AAAAAAAAAAAAAAAAAGCAAGGCACAGAGCTCACAACCAAGGAACCTGTTGCTAAAATTCACCTCTGGGAACAGCTGATTGGGGGTATTCCGGGAGGCCGATCCACCCGCCAATCAACTTTTTTCTTATTTTCCTCCCTAAAAACTAAGGTGCATCTTATACTCCGAAAAATACGGCCATCGTCAGTTTTTCGATGTCATGCATGTTCACATTTTTGGTTCTGGGTGAACTGGTTGTTACAACTGGCAGTAACCCATCCCTATTCACATCTATAAGCCATGGGTGGGCCAAGCTAACTTCTCCTTTTGGACTCGGACTGGAAGGAGGGCAGCTGTGGAAGGGTGAGAATTTACCTACACAAATTGGCACGCTACCGCTCCAGCGCCCTTCTTCCGTGCACACACGGCTGTTGTCACCTTCTAGATGATACCCGAGTTGGCAGCTGTAGTGACAGTGAGAATCAGTCTTCACCCCATTGGAGCACTGGTACGACCCGTGCTGAAGTGCTGGCAGTGTGTGACATCGAATCTCTGGAGAGAGAGAGAGAGAGAGAGGGAGGGAGGGAGAGAGGGAGAGAGAGAGAATCTAAACATTATTTACTGATTTATCTCCCGCTTTGTAAGGAATTAGCGATCTCCAATCGCTGTGAAGCAGACTGTATTGAGACTGAATAACAATTGGGCCAGCATGAATGTCGGATGCAAAGAAATCGGGAAGCAGGATAGAATTCAAAAGTACTACAAGTCAGTGGCGAAATGTAAAATTTGTTACTACTGGTTCTGTGGGCGTGGCTTGGTGGTGATGGGTAATGTGACTGGGTGGGCGTGGCCAACTTTTTTTTTTTTTTACTTTTGAAACCATTTTTTTCTACAACCGAAGAGGTTGTAAAAAAAATGCTTTTAAAAGACTCTGACGATCCCAGCTGAGTTGCCTGATCGTTAGAGGCTTTTGTTTTCTTTTAAAAGAATTTTGTTTTTGCTTTTAAAAGAAAAAAAAAAGCCTCTGACGATCAGGCAACTCAGCTGGGATCGTCAGAGCTTTTTAAAAGCATTTTTTTTACAACCACTTCGGCCAAAGATGCCGTAGAAAAAATTCTTTTAAAAGTAAAAAAAAAAAAAAAAGCCTCTGATGATCACGTGGCTGAGCTCGGCATGGGGGGGGGGAAAGGGATTTTTGCTACCGGTTCCCCGAACTACCCGCTGCCATTACTACCAGATTGGGCGATCTGGTCCGAACCCGGAGCATTTCACCCCTGCTACAAGTGTATTTCATTCACTTTCATTTCATTTTCACTTTATTTCTAAACAACCCGTTGATCTTGTCCAGACATTAAGCTAAGCAATAGTATGATTTTAGATATCCATAGTGATATCTGTAGAGTGTGAATCTGGGCTATTTCCTCTCATTTAGCATAAATAGAATATAATATAATGGAATAGGAATAGGAATAGGAATAGGAATAGGAATAGGAATAGGAATGGAATAGGAATAGGAATAGGAATAGGAATAGGAATAAGGAATAGGAATAGGAATAGGAATAGGAATAGGAATAGGAATAGGAAGAGAAGAGAAGAGGGAATTAGAAGGGAAGGGAAGAGAATAGAATTAGAAGAGAATAAAATTAGAAGAGAATTGGAAGAAGGGAGGGGAAAGGAAGAGAGGAGAGGAGAGGAGAGGAGAGGAGAGGAGTGGAGAGGAGAGGAGAGGAGAGGAGAGAGGAGAGGAAAGAAGCGAAGCGAAGTGAAGCGAAGAGAAGAGAAGAGAGATTAGAAGGGAAGGGAAGAGAAGAGAATTAGAAGAGAATAGAATTAGAAGAGAATTGGAAGAAGGGAAGGGAAGGGAGGAGAGGAGAGGAGAGGAGAGGAGAGGAGAGGAGAGGAGAGGAGAGGAGAGGAGAGGAGAGGAGAGGAGAGGAGAGGAGAGGAGAGAGGAGAGGAAAGAAGCGAAGCGAAGCAAAGAGAGAATTAGAAGGGAAGGGAAGAGAATTGGAAGAAGGGAAGGGAAGAGAGGAGAGGAGAGGAGAGGAGAGGAGAGGAGTGGAGAGGAGAGGAGAGAGGAGAGGAAAGAAGCGAAGCGAAGCGAAGAGAGAATTAGAAGGGAAGAGAAGAGAATTGGAAGAAGGGAAGGGAAGAGAGCTAGAAGGGACTTGGAGGTCTTCTAGTCTAGCCAAATTATGGTTTATTATAATCCATAAGCCAAACTCTTGTCTGCTTAACTTGCAAGACTTCAAGCTTTGCCTACGTCTCTTGGTGGCTTGATGGCACCCACCCAACCGATAATGGATTATCTTGGTGTCGATGGGGACTGACTTCAGAGGGGAAATCTGAGCTAATACTCACGTCTACAGTAGATAATCCCAGACCAGTGGCGGTTCAATAAGCATTGCACAGACCTCGGGCCGATCAGGCGATACCCACGGTTGCAGGAGAGCGCACAGCGTGTCCCCAGGCTGCTGCGGTAATTTCCTCCACGGGGTGAATAGCAGGTAGCCTCCCCATTGTAAATAATTAGCGGGTGACACCACCGAGGAACTAAGGGTGCGGGGGGGGGGGAGAAAGAAAGGACCGTATAGAAGATCTCTTATGGTCTCAGGCATCACTTGCTTCTGTAGAACTATTAGTGACTCTGCTCCAGCTTTGACAAAAAGATGGAGCTGAAAAACAAGGTTTTCTTTACAGTGATGGCCAAATCGTGCATTCTTACTCGGTGTAGGTCCATTGTGTCCAATGTTGTCAATTAACATTATAACGGATTGTCGTTTGGTTCATTATTTGTATGGTGTAGCTCAGTGGTGGGTTTCAAAATTTTTTACTACTGGTTCTGTGGGTGTGGCTTGGTGGGCGTGGCATGGCTTGGTGGGCATGGCTTGAGTGTGGCAGGGGAAGGTTACTGCAAAATCCCCATTTCCTCCCGATCAGCTGGGACTCGGGAGGCAGAGAATAGATGGGGGTAGGGCCAGCCAGAGGTGGTATTTACCGGTCCTCCAAACTACTCAAAATTTCCGCTACCGGTTCTCCAGAACTGGTCAGAACCTGTTGAAACCCACCTCTGGTGTAGCTTCGTTTCATTGCAATTTATGGATGGAACGAAAATGGGAAAGGGCCGGATGTACTGTATATACAAGTGATAGATAATGGTTTTACCATATCACTAGAAAAAGAGAGGAAGGATTGTCATGATCATTATTTCCTTGCACTTTATTAGCTTATGGTCTATTCTGACAGGAAATTCCTGCAAGAGGAGATGATGGATTTGACCGAGTCTATGAATCATGGCTCTAGCTAATCAAGGAGCAAACTCCTGATTACAATATGTGGAGACTGTGTGTTGTAACGTAGTGATAAGTGGAAGGTGCTCCTTGCCTGCTTAACAGATTTCTCTCATTCTTCTTTAAAAATGTCCCCTGGTCTGAAAACAAAGATCTAAAGAACTGGCCATAGCTTTAACATTTCCCCAACCATCTGTCCCTAATTGGACATTTCATTTTGAATTTGGGAACCACAGTAAATGACTTTTGTCTGGATTATTAATTTCTCCTCTGAAGATCAGTTCTACTTTTCTGCGGGAGCTTTTCAGCCACAAATTGTAGCTACTGATGGTCCCCACAGGATGCCATGGTTGGCCAGGGGGGGTTAATCTAGGGCAGAGGCGTCAAACTCAAGGCCCACGGGGAAGATCTGGTCTATCCTGGAAACAATGAAGGACCGAACCACGGTGCCTCTGCCAGCAAAAATGGAGTTCAGGAGGGCAGCGGGCAGCCCTCCCCCCCAGCTGTTTTTGCTGGAGAAGGTTGCAGGAAGCTGTTGCAACCGAAAACAGAACTTGGGAGCCTGTATTCACTGGCAGAGCACTCGGGCCTCCACAGGTGCCTCCTACACGAGTTACGTTGAGTTGGCCACGCCCACCTTGGCCACACACCCCAATTTCCCCCCCAAGGTCAAACACAACCCTGATGCGGCCCTCAATGAAATTGAGTTTTACACCCTGATCCAAGGGAAGGAAGGAAGTCTACTTATGGTGGTTCTGAGCAACAGTCCTGTACTAGTCTTCCAAGAAGGAAATTCCAAGTGAGAACTTACATCATCAACAGCTATAGGAGAAAGTCGCCCCAACATTGTAAACTTGAAGATAAGGCGCTCCCATGTAACATCTCTCCTGCGCGAGCTGCACTGGCTCCCAGTGGTCTTCCGAGTTCGCTTCAAGGTTTTGGTTATCACCTTTAGAGTGCTCCATGGCTTAGGACCTGGTTATTTACAGGACCGCCTGCTACTACCAATAGCCTCCCACCGACCAGTACGCTCCCATAGAGAGGGGCTCCTCCGGGTGCCGTCGGCCAAACAATGTCGACTGGCGGCCCCTAGGGGGAGAGCCTTCTCCGTCGGGGCACCTACGATCTGGAACGAGCTCCCCCCCCGGAGATACGGAGGATCCCGGATCTGCGCACCTTTCGTCGCGCGCTCAAGACTTTCTTATTTCATCAAGCTGGCCTGACCTAAGTCTTTCCCCTTTTTAAATGGAAATGTTAAATTTGGTTTTAAATTATTGGGGTTTTAAATTTGTTCAGCCAAAGTATTTAATTCATTTTATCTTATTTTAAAATTTGTATTTATATGTTTTATTCTATGGCCGTTCACCGCCCTGAGTCCTTCGGGAGTAGGGCGGTATATAAATTCAATAAAAACAAAACAAAAAGAAAGGCCAGCTTCACGTTTTCAAGAGCCTAAATAGATCTCCTTGATGACAATACCATCTAGAGCAATGGTGCAAAGAGCTTGAAATGGCCAAGTCTACCTGCAATTTAATCCCTTGAAATACAATGATCTCCTGATGACCTCAGATTGAGAAATGAATGTACACTCCAATGAGGTGGAAGGACCAGATCTGATCCTGCTAGGGTCTTGGAACAATGAAGCTCAGAATGGCAGTTGGGTACCTTGATAATCTGGAGCAGGGACACTGGAGGCTTCCGTATGGTACACGTCTTCAGTTTGACTTTCTTCAGTGGAATATCTAGACCCTGGGGGAGAAAGGGAATCCATAAAACCTAGCACAAGATCTTCCTCAAAATTGTCCATGTCCAATAGCCATGTATGGTTAATTAAGTGCTGCTGGGGATCGGTGTCACTGGAATGCAGGGTGGATTTGATTTCAATCAAGTTGATTTCAATCACGATTTCAATCGTGATTTAAATCACTAGTAAAAAGACCTGATTTAAATCAACTCAATTTAAATCATAATTTTTAAAGAGCAACTGGCATCTCTGTCCCGCAGGGGCTCCTCCTCTGACCCGCTGTTGACTCACTGACCGTCCCATTCACTTTAATGGAACAGCTGGTAATGCGGCAGTGACACAACAAGGTGAGCGACATGGCGGGCAGCAGGTGAATGGCTGGACCTAGAGTGGGGTGGGAATGGAGATTTTGCAATATCCTTCCCCTGCAGTGGGGTGGGAATGGAGATTTTGCAATATCCTTCCCCCAGGAATGGAGAGGGAATGGGGATTTTGCAATATCCTTCCCCCAGGAGTGGGGAGGGAATGAGGATTTTGCAATATCTTTCCCCTGGAGTGAGGTGGGAATGGAGATTTTGCAGTATCCTTCCCCAGCCACGCCCACCAAGCCACACCACACTCACCAAGTCATTCCCACAGAACCAGTAGTAAAAAAAATTGGATTTCACCACTGATTTAAACCCAATGAGATGAGGTTTTCTTTGGGTTACTTTCCCATTCCGCACTGTCAGATGTAAATGCCTTATTCTCCAATGTGTAAATAATGTATATATGGAACATCAGAGGTTAACTTATTCTTTGGACTTTAATGTATTCATAACTTACCACTCCCATTCCTAGCTCCACCCCTTGTATATATAAGGAGCCACCCTCACCATTCTCGCTTGCTTCTACCTTGAATATTCAGTGAATATAGAATGCCTATCATAATTAAAAAGAAATATATTTAAAGCTCTAACTCCTATTATCTTTATTGAGTCTGATCCTGAAAATATTGCAACAAGCTGGTAGCAGAGGATGGTTAATTGACTCAATAAGTAATTAAAAATGTCCAAGAAAGATAGGCCCAACACCAGGGCCTACAGCAAAGAAATAGAAACTGATCAAGAGATGATCAACGAATCCACCAATGCGATTTCGAGAGAATCCGAAGAATACACCACTGAAGAAGAAGAACTAATGAGTGAAAATAATGACCAGAAAGAAATCGAAATAGAAAATAACGAACTCAGGTCAGAGATATTAAAGATACTAAAAAGCCAAAAGAATGATGAAAGTCTCATCGCGGACCTCCAGGAGATGCTGAAGAACAGCGGAGCAGCGAGAGAGAAAAACGTCATTAAAGAAAAACCCAAAGATCAAAAAACCGTAAGTGAGATGACTACTGAGAAAATAGTTGTTAAAAAGAAAAGATGTGATCCCGCGCGAAATTTTGAATGGCAGCCATCTTGGTTTCAACGAACTTCAAAAGAGAATGGAGCAGAGCCAATCAAAACGCTCAGTTCAAAATTTCTGGCGCGAAAAACACTATCAGACGAAGAAAGTGAGAAAGAAGTCTCAAACTCTTCAGATGATCCAAAATCAGAAAGTGAAGACGATTTAACAAAATCTCAAGTAAAATCAGCAATGAAAACGCTTTTTGCTGCTTTTGGGCCAAGACTGAAAATTACCAAGACATCTACGAAGAAGCAAGAAATCAAACCGGCGACTCAAGACCTGCACGCTCCCATCCTGACTTCGAAAGAGACGACGCCCGAGCCCAGAGAGCCATGCCGATTTCGCCCTACACCACAGACAAAATCGAATACCAACGCACACAAAAAGAAGAAAAGAACCGTCACCACCACCAGAACCCCAAAAACCGAGCCAGAGACCGACTCATCTGAGGAGGAGCGGATCGAGAGAGCTGAAAGGGAGAGAACCTTCCACGACGCCACCAAAGAAGAAATGAACAACGCGCATGTGCGAAACTACGTAGACGACCCAGAAGGACTTGAACTGGCCAGAGAACCGCGCAGACTCATTGCAAGCATCCCAATGCCGTTCTGTAATTTCCTGCACTTGAGAGATCACGGACTGCCCCAGGTTGTAAGTAATGGACAGAATAATGTAGGTAACTTACCCAGTGACTTCCCAAAACTTAGAATTGATGGCATTAATTTACAAGAGTGGTATCAACAGCTTCAGGTTATTTTCATGAAAGAAAATTTACTATTCTTTATAACTAGCCCTCCAAGAAGACCTTGGACTTTAAAAATAGATTGTTTACATCATAGAGCATTTTTCATAATAATATCTAGCGTGTCTCCTGCAATGTATCATAGCATCAAACCAAACCTAACTGTATCAGAAATAATTCAATGCATGTTTAATCTATTTCACAGCGATAGCGTAGCTACAACCACAAGAATGTCTAAGGATTTCTTTTCCTCTAGAGTAAAACCAGGGGTTTCTATAAGTGAGCATTTGATAAATCTAAACAAAATAAGAGCTGAGCTACAATTGAGGGGGGAAGTGATTTCAGATCAAACAATGAAAAGTGTTATTATCAATTCACTTGATCCATCATGGGATAGCTTTATGTCACACTTAGATACCATTAATTTGGGATATTTATCCATAGAAAGTCTATCTAACAAATTGATAGCAGAAGACAATTCAAGAAAAAATCGATCCAGTAACCAAACAGACCACAAACCTTTTAGGAAAGTAGTCTTTCAAGATAAACATAATGAGGCCTTTAGATGCTACAATTGTGGATCCAGGGAACATAGTAGAAGAGACTGCCCCAAAGTCTCAAGAGAGAGACATAGACCAGAATATAGGAGCAAATATAATTACAGACAATCTTCCACAGATAGACACAAATATAGAAGCCCACCAAATTACAAAGAAGGTAGAGGGGGTAGAGAAAATTCAAAAGAGAGGAAATCTGGGTCACTGAATGGGCTAAATAAACAAGACAGCACCAGAACACAGCAGGATGAGAATAACAATTGGCTTATTGATTCTGGTGCAACAAATCACACCACCAACAACAAAAGTATATTATCTTCATTTATAGAAGATAAGTTTGTGATAAAGGTAGCTAATCAAGAAAAGGTTCAAGTACTAGGCAAAGGAAATGTGACCTTGCCTGGTCTAGGGAAAATAGAGGGGGTATTATTAATCCCAGAAATACCTCACAACATACTAAGTGCCATAAAATTAAGCAGAGAATCTGATATCAATATAGTTTTCTCAAAGGGGAAAGCAACTATAGAAAAGAACAAAACAAATGTAGGTACTGTAATGATAAAAGGAGGTCTACCCTATCTGATAACTAAAGAAAGATGTTTACATAACATTGATTCAAATATGGAAGATTGTATTGAAGCAGATGATGAAAATGTCAGTAACAGTGACAATGATGAGTGTAGAATAACTCATGATCACAAAAATACATACAAGGAAAAGAAACCAAAAATAGGTAAACCAATTCATGATGAGTGTGCTCACATCTTACACAGGAAGTTAGGACATGCAAGCTTTCCTGTAGTACAAAAAATGACTGAACACGCAGAAGGTGTCAAAATAAAAAATTGTGAAAATTATTTGGAATGCTCAGTATGTAAGTCCACCAAACTAAAAACCAGTCCCAGACCAAAAAAATCTAACAGATCAACTAACAATATTTTTGATTTGGTACATATGGACTTAGTTGGTCCATTAAGTCCCTCAATTACCTATAGAAAACGTTACTTCCTAACAATAGTGGATGACTACAGCCGATATGGTTTTGTTTACACATTAAAGCACAAGGATGAAACATTTCAGAAATTTAAGGAATTCTACAAACGTATAGAAACACAACATAATATCAGAATAAAGCAAATTATGACAGATAGGGGATGTGAGTTCATGTCTAAAGAATTCTCCCAATGGTTAAAGGATAGAGGAATGTTACATTTCACGTCCAATCCTTTTTCTGCATTTCAAAATGGAGTTGCAGAGAGGAAAAATTCCACACTACAAACCATGATTAGGTGCACATTAGAGGATGCTGGTTTAGGCAAACAATTTTGGTCAGAGGCATTACATTATTCGAATTACACTCAAAATAGAACCTGGTCCAGTATTGTGAATAAGACACCATATGAGGTGATGTACAATAGAAAACCCAAATTATCACACATGCACATATTTGGAGTCACTGCAGACGTACACATACCTAAACAATTGAGGAGAAAGGGAGAAAACGTATCCAGGAGATTAAGATTCATGGGATACGAAACTGGAACCAAAGGGTACAGATTTATTGATAGTAATAACAAATTTATAGTATCCAGAACAGCTGTGTTCCATGAACAGGCCAATTGGTCAAAATTGCACCTTAATGAAATATTTCCTAATAAATGTAAAGATACGATATCTTGCGAGGAAGGAACAACAGAAAATCAAAATATTAACAAAAGTAAGAACAAAACCAAAACTTGGACTAATAGTCAGCATAAAATAAAGACAGACACATTAACAAAAAAGGAAGCTAGATATTTGCATGATAACCATAGCAAGCCTGAAAGAACTATTAGAAACAATAGAAACCAAATACCAAATAAATACAAAGATTACATAATGCATATGAATGGAGAACAAATAACACCTAATACATATGAAGAAGTATTGAAACTTCCACATGAAGAAAGAGAAAAATGGGAACTAGCTATGAAAAAAGAGATGGAAAGTTTACAAGGATTAAATGTATTCACACCTGCGATCGCACCTAAGGATAAAACCATTATAGGTACCAGGTGGATTTATAAAATTAAGAACTTAGAAGGAGGCAATACCTTATACAAGGCTAGACTAGTTGCACAAGGCTATGCACAAAAATATCCAGAAGACTATACTGATACATATTCACCCACAGTGAGAACAGAGAGTGTCAAAACAGCCCTTGTAGTAGCATCTGCACTCAATCTGGACGTATTCCAATATGACATACAGACCGCATACTTACATGCAA